TGTCCCAAACCCCAATGTCCAGCCTGGCCTTGGGCACTGCCAGGGATCCAGGGGCAGCCACAGCTGCTCTGGGCACCCTGTGCCAGCCCTGCCCACCCTCAAAGCCAGGAATTCCTTCCCAATATCCCACTTAACCCTGCCCCTGTCACTGTGAAGCAGTTCCCCCTTGTCCTGTCACTCTATGCCCTTGTAAAAAGTTTCTCCATCTCTTGTTGACTCCCCTCAAGTCAGAATAGTTGTTGTTATTTCGATCTGTTTGTGCTAAATCAGTTAATACTTCACAATTGCCCCCTCCATATTATGCCAATGAATATCTTATTGGAGACATTTAAGTACTAATCTTATATAAATAATTTTTTCCTTAACTAATTAGTTGGACACAGTCTTGCCAGATTGGTTAAAAAAAAAAAAAGATATTGATTTTCAGAATCAAAGGTAATTATTTTTATCCTCTGAATCTTCAAGGGCCTCTTCTCTTTTCAGCCTCTAAATGGAACTGCTCCACAAAAAGCACACAGCTCTTCCCTGGAGAGCTGGGGAGGGAATCAATGAAGTGGGAGCTCAGGAATAATCAGTGCAAGTGCCACAGAGCCCTGGGATGATTCTCTCTCTCTCACCCTGCATTAGGGGAGGCCTCTGAGCCCAGTCCCATGGGAATGCCCCTAATAAATTGGATCAAGAAGTAAGTGATGCAGGTCCCTGGGTCTGCCAGGGGGTCACTGGTGCACAAACTCCTCCCCACAGCTCCCAGCTGTACTTTGCCATGCCATGCTCCACTTTCCTTCCAGGAAAATCACTCCAACAAAGCAGTGCCCTAACTTTGTATTAATTTGCCAAACTGATGTACATTTTTATTGCTTTAGAACGCTGCTGGAACACTGTGCAGCCGTGAAATGCTGCCTTTAAATCCCCTCCCTGGCCACTCCACACTGCTGGAGGAAGGGAACTCCTGGAGGAAGATATTGGCCTTGTGCACTTTGCTGACAGTCCATAAATCCACTTGTGTCAGCCCAAAGAGGTGCCATAAAGAGAGCAGATTAAAAGAGATTAGTTCTGCCAAGTGGCCTGAGGAGAGAATTTACAGCTCCCCTCTGCCAGCCCAGAGCTGTGGGATGGGGGCTCAGAGGCTGGGAAATCCTCCTGGGGGCAGGGAAGGATCAGGAGAGCCTGGGGGTTATTTTCACATTTCTGTGCTGCTTTTGGAGCAGGCTCATTTCTGATTTTTGTCCCCACGTTTGCAATCTGTAGAATCAAACGCTGCTGGAATGGCTTGGGTTGGGTGTGGACACACACATTTAGGGAATCACAGCTTGGGAATTCTTTCCAGGCCTGGATTTCTCCTGACTCTCAGCTCCATTCCCAGGCTGACAAGCTGACTGCAGCTTCAGTTAGGGAGGAGTCTCCCAGGGTGATAACATGGTAGAAAACAGAGTGGAATTCATCACCAACATTAACCCCTGGTGTCTTTCCCGTGGGACACACCCTGAGGTGCTGTCCCAAGGATGTTTTTCCCAATTGTCCAATGAACTCCTGTCCTGTCCTGGCTGCACTGACACACTTTAAATCCGGGCTGTCTGTACAATAAATTGGCTTTTTTCCCCCTCTTTTTTGCTGTCCTTTCTCTCTCTTTGCAGAGCAGTGACCACAGCTGGGTTGGGACCTTAAAGCTGATCCCAGTGCAGGGTCACCTGTCCTGGCTGTCCTGGCAGGGACACCTCCCTCCATGTGAAATGTGCCCAGGTGATCCCTCTGGACACTCCTGGCATGCCCAGGACAGGCAGGGCAGGAGGAGAGCTCACCACCCACCACCACTCTGGGTACCAGCCATCAGCAGGGTTTAGCTTCAAACATCCCAAAATCAGTGCTGCAGTTGGTTCCTGGGGTACCCTGGAATCTGGGCACCGAGAAAGTTCTGGAAAACTCAAATTCCCTCTGGGAATGCTAATGAGGTGTCACCTCTGGATTTCTGTTGGCTCATAAAAGCTTCACAAGCCTGGTTTCCATAGCTCAAAGCTGCCCTGGATTCAAACAGCAGCACCTGAGAGGGGTTAAGTGCAGAAAACACCTGGGAAAATGGGATTAAAGAGTCACGGATTGTGAAGGAATGAGGGAAGGAGAGCTTTTACTGGAGACTCCCAGAGGGAGTGAGAACTATCACAAATTTGCTGTCTTGGACATGGTTTTAGATCTGGCACAGCAGAGGAGCTTTAATCCCTTGGCTCAGAGCAGGAGCCATTAACTCATGGAGCCATTCCCAGCTCAGGTGAGACAAAATGGGTTTTTATTCCCTCCCTGCTCCACAGAAAAGCAGGAAAACCTTGTCCTTGGATGGGCCACACTTTAATCACGACTTGTGTGATGCACCAGGAACCTGAGCTGTTGGTCTGCATTCCTAAAGCCTGAAAGAAATGTATCTGCTATAATTTAACCTGAATTTTGCACAGATAAAATGCCTTCCATCCCGCTTCTTCTCCCTCATTTTCAACAGCAATTTCCTATTTTCCAATATAAATGCAGATATTTGATAAGTCCTGATAATGGGATCCTGCAAATCTGTCAGTGTAATGAGTTCTCTGCAGTCTGGAAGGTGCCACTGTGGTTCTTGTTTTGATCACAGGATGCCACAGAGAGAAAACCTGCTGGGAAAAGGAGCTCTGAGCCTGTGGGAGAGCACCTTTCCCATCTTCCTGCTTCCCTCTAATATTTTTTGTAAATTCATTGGAAAATCCTGTTTTGCTTTATTTTAAAAAGGGATACAAGGTGAGGGCGTGGAACTTTAAATGCTTGTTGTTAATAAATAAACATCAAAATCAGAATTTAAATAGAAATATTGTTGTTTATCATTTCAAAAAGCCAGTTTATTTCTGCAGTCACACTGAAGTACTTGGAGATAATTTTCCTTTCGTATTTTCCATTTCTAGTCTATCATATCCACGAGAATTACTTGATAACCTGAATTTCCCTGTGGTTTATTTATCTGTGGAGGAGCTGCTCTGGAGAGCACAAGTTCATCCAGAAGTGTCTGTTTGGCTCGATGGGACATTTGCTCCCTTCCAGAAATGAAATATTCTGTCCCCATTTGATTCACTGAAGAAAATGAAATGCACAATAAGCAGGGCAGGGGAAACTGTGATGCTAAAAGATATTTGTTAATGAGCATCATTGCACGTCTTCAGAGCCTCCACATGGGGCCCTAAAATTTCTTTTAATGCTCCAGTCAGTGTTCCCTCCTTCCTAAGGAATGACAGCCCCTGGCAAGCCCAAAATCAGGTGGGAAAGGTTCCCCCTGTCCAGGCAGGGCTGGCTGGGCCAGAAATGGAACATTGGGGTGAAACTCAGAGATGCAGGGCTGGGATTTCCTTCATGCAGCCCTGCCCACAAAATGTATTTTCAAGTGCGTTTTAAAATGTATTTGAAAGTAATTAATTGCTGGTTAATTGCCATGCAGGTTACTATCCTGTATCATAAAATTCCTGGGTATTTTTGTTGCCATAATGTGAATTTTTGTGTCTGGACTGACAATCCTAAGGCAGCTGCAGCTTCTGCCTGATGTACAAATCTCAAAGAGGTGCTCATCAATTTTTTAAAAACATGAGCTGGCACTGGTTCAGTGAAACAACTGAATTGAATGAAAATCATGACATTGGGAAGCTTAATTAAAATAACTGCTGATAGAAGGTGCTAAGGGATAAGTCCTGTACGTGAGAGTCATAAAAACAATTCAAAGTCTGTACAAGAAACTTTCCAACCTGCTGGCCAGTGGCTTTCCCATGCCTGGGAATGTGTCAGTGGATTTGGGGCTCTGTTAGCCCTGCTGGAATAATTCTGAAAAAAACCTTCTCCAGGATGTGACAAAGCCCCGGGGTTTCAAACTCCTCCTGAATCCAGGAACCGCTTCCCAGGGAAACTCTGCTGACACCTGAGGAGCCTCTGGATGGAGAACACCTGGATGGAGCTCCAGGTGTGAGCCCTGGCTCCAGCACAGGTAAAATCCAGTTTTTCCTCTGGGATGCAGCCTTGGCCATAGGGAGGAGCTGTGCTCTGCCTGGGGAACACCGAGAAAAGAGAGTGCAGACATTTTAAAGCCAATTCTGGTTGTTTTTCCAAACCTGAGCTGTGCTTTTATGTGTACTTGGATATTTGAAAAGCCCAAATTAGCATTCAGAGAGCTGTCGGCAATTCGGGGGCCAGATTTCGCTCTTCTTTCCCTTTGTACAGAGCAGGAATGTGCAAGGAGGAATTGGCAGCGCACCCAGGACAGATTTGAGCTTTTTTAAACGGAGTTTCTAGAGCTGCTTTGCTCTTCTCCAGGCTGTGGGAGCTCCCAGAGTGCTGCTTCCCCCGGGGGAGTGCTCTGAGCACATCCCAGCCCAGCTCCTGGTGCCTGCCAGGGTGAAATCCTCACTGCTCCCTGCATCACTGCCACTGCTCCCCGCTGCCCTGGCGGGGATGATTCCAGCTGTTCCTGGGTATTCCAGCTGTTCTGTGTCCCCTGCCAGCTTCCCGAGGTTGCTGGGGTGCAGCAGCATCCCCGTGCTGAGCTGCTGCAGGGCAGTGCAGGCAGTGCCACACTCCTGGGAGCTTTTCCTGGGCTGGTTTTGTTCATTCTGTGTCTGGAAAACAGAGATTTTTAGAAGCAGAATGACAGTGCTGCGGCAAAAGGGGAATGGTGGAAATTTCCAGCACCTCCATCCCTGGCAATGTCCCAGGGACCAGGTTGGACATTGGGGTTTGGGCAGTGAAGGTGTCCCTGCCATGGGTGTGGCACTGGATGGGCTTTAAAATCCTTCCAACCCAAACCATTCGGGGATTCTGGGATTCTCTAAAATCCAAACTTGCAGGTTGTTGAGTTTTTTGCCCCTCCTTTGTGTCTTTTCCTTTCCTCTTTTGCTGCCAGGAGGGTGGAGGATTTGCAGCCGTTCCTGGAGGGGTCAGTGTGGACAGGAGGGGCTCAGGTTTGGCTCCAGGGAGGGTGTCACTCACAGGCTGCATTTGGAATTCTTTTGGAAAATGTTTGGGCTCTTGAGACCCAAACTGAAAGCCTGTGGGACGTGGGATGAATTTGGAGCCCTGAGCTGCCAGGGGCAGTGCCAGCACCCCTCACTCTCCTGCAGGGAACAGCCAGAAATGCTTTGCTCCTCGGTTTCCCCACCAGAAATTCGAAACATTCCTCATTTATAAGTTGATTTTCATTGCTCACAGGAAAGGGATAATTTTGAAGTTCATTATCACGTGAAGCATTTTTCCCTGAATGCAGACACAGGGCTCGGGTTTGAGGGCTGGGGGGGCTCCTGAAATGAGTCCTAAATGGAGAATTAGTGCAATAAATGGATCATTCTTTGCTTTAACGCTGCCAGGGATTCTGGCTCCTCTGGGTTGTCAGAAGTGCAGTGATTGAGCCACTTTCCCCTTTCCTATCACTGTCATTAATTCTGGGTCAAATGCTGCTGTGCTTGGGTCTCTAGCAGCTCTCACTGGAGGAAAGAGGTTGGGGAAATATTATTGTTAAGCAGTTTAGGATTAAAAAGAAGAATTCCGAATTTGTTATTCCTTGGGTTTCGTGCAGCCTGCTCTGCTTTCCTCCCGGGTTTTGTGGGAGAGGGAGACAAGGACTGCTGCAATATCTGCTGTGATTAATGCCCTGGAGGAGCCTAATGGTTATGGAATTACTGCGTGTTGGAAGGGTCTGACAGGGCAGATAATTCCTCCCTGCTCCCCCTGCCCTGGCAGCACAAGATTTAAACTTGCTGATGCTCCTGAGGAGCTGTCCCAGCCCAGAGATGGTGGGGATAAGGTAAATAACCTCTCTGGCCACGGGCAGCTTATCTAAATGAGAACCAGCTCCAGGCCCCTGGCAATCTCTGCATCGTTCCTGCCAAAGCCTCCATTTAAAAAATAAAATGAAATGTTGGAGTTTTCCACTTCGAGTGGGTGCAAGTATTTCAGTTGCAAAAAAAAAAAAAAAAAAAAAAAAAAAAAAAAAAAAGGGGCAAAAATTAGATGGTGGATTGTTAAGAAAATAAATGCTTCAGTGTCCAAAAATGACAGAGTTTTTGATTTTATTCATTTTATTCAGAGCAAACAAAACCAATCAAGGTCTTTCACAGGATATGAATGGAAGGGACCCACCAGGAGCTCTGAGTCCAACTCAGCCTGCTCAGAGCCAGCTCTGGAGTTCCACCAGTGCCTTTGTGGTAGGGAATGGCAGCAATACCATTCAAGCTGCTAATTCCCAGCTCCCATTTTCCCAGGGATTCTCCCCAATTTCCTTTTTCCCCCCAGCAGTAGCAGCAGGGTGCATCAGGTGCCCATAGCTTCCACCAGGGAAATAATTAAAGAATGGATTTTAAACTTGGATCAAACTTCTGTTATTTCCAGACTTGTCTGGGGCATAAATTGGAAATCAAACACCCAACAAGTTCCTTCCATCCCTGCTGAAAGGCTCCAGGCTTCATTTAGTCAAGGCTCAGAATTAATTTTCCTATTAAATGAATGCTTTCTTAAAACGAAGGGGGAAAATGTTTTCCCTGATAAGATTGTTCTGTGAACCATTCCTAATGAGCTGCTGTGTCATTCCCTTCTGCCTCCTATTTATCTTGTTTAGATCCCTTCAGTCTGAACTATTCCAGTCCTTTGCTGCCTGCTACGAGTTTGTTTTCTTTGATTTTAACTGGGAGCTTCAGATACTTTTTAAAAGCTGTTACAAAGTGAAATATTTTGTTTATTTCTTTATATTGGCTTTTTTTTTTTCCAGGGAAGTGGATATAACGTATATATAATATATATAAAAGCTTTTAATCTATTTCTGTAAGCTTTATCATCTAAATTTCCATTTTAATACATGGCCTTGCTTATTTCCCAAGGACATTTTCCTTCTTGCCCTGGGAAAGGGCTTGAACTCCACCCTGGCAGCTGTAGGACCACTTGTGGGGCTGCCTTTAAGGGGATTTTTTTGGTTTTTTTTTTGCCCAGCAGAGGCAGATTTTTTACACCTGTTGTGCAGCAGGTGTGGTGAAGGGTCCCCAGCATCACCAACACCCAGCAGTGGGGTCTGGCAGCTCTGCATCCCTCTCGTGGTCAAACACTCTTGTGGATAAAACAAATCCTTACAACTTCTCAGAAAACATTTTTTGAGGTGCCTTTAAAACAGGAGAGATGAACACTGAGGGGGGAAAAAAAAAATCCCTGAGGATCAAATGGAGTAATTTTCAAACACTGCAGGCAAAACCAAGATTTCATGGTGTGATGGCTGCTCAAGGTGACTCCCAGGGCCCCGAACACCTCCAGCCATTGCTGGGATTGGGATTTTGAGAGCCTTTGTGGGATTCACCTGGCCAGCTTCTGCCTTATTTCTATTCATCCTTTTTGTCCAGCCCAGTGCCCCCATTTCCCACCCTGTGGGAAGAGCTCAGGGCTGCTGCTGTTTGTTGGAATCTCCCTCTAATTCATCCCAAATTGTGGCTGCAGAATCCCTCAGCTCCCACAGGTGCCCAGGTGGGTGCAGGGGGGATGAAGTGAAGCCCAGCCTGGCTGGGGGAGCACCCAGCAGGTTTTACCAAGATGAGACTCCAGAAATTTCAGTTGGAGCTGCTCAGCTTCCCAGAGTATTTTAAGGAATTGAACAAATTAGAAAAACTATTGAAGCAGGAGCTTCCCTCTGCCTCTGTCAGGTAACGCCGCGCTCGGAATTTATCTGAGCAAAGAAGAACTTTCACAGCCCAGTGACTCCACTCTTTATT